GATTTACAATGTCTATAGAAGCGTTTTTCAATCTGAGGTGAGTCTGCTGAAACCAAAGTGTGATCTTCCATTTTAAGTTCAGTTTAAATATTTTAGAAATGCCGCTTTTCAAATCAAGAAATTTGATTTGTGGATTTACCTTTTTATTGATTATTATTTTTAGCATTTCGTCGCCAAAAGTTTGAGAACCCCTGCTCTATACAACCTCAATGGTTTGGGGGCCTAATTCCGGGGGTTGAAAAATGAAACTCCGGAGCTGGAGCCACAGTTTGAAATGATGGCGTTAGAATCGGAAGCCACTGTGATGGCACCCAGACACCCAGGCTGTGAACATTACCTCATTTTCGCGTTTAATTGCAGTAATCCAAAATCAGTTCAGAAATAGCTATAATAGACAAGACTAAACTTTCCAACCAAAAACACCAAAAATTTGCAATGGTAAAGTACTGTTTGGAAGAATTTTCCAGGGGTGAAAGGTCGGGGTAACATCGATGCATCGATGCTTTTGCATCGATTACTTTTTGCTTTTACCTTTGTGGGAGTCATTCGATCGATAGCTGTGTGCAATGATAGGCCTACCTACGGTAGCTCAAGAAGATTCCGGCTTCGTGGTGGTGCAGGATAAAACAAAACGTTGTGTGCACAGAGTTCAGGCAAGCTAAAACTAACACAGATGCAGTACCGTTACCGGTAATATTTATCGATACATTTTGGCCGGGGATGCTTTACCGGTATTCGTTATTTACCCGTATCATTCAGTCATTTGCATGTGTCAGTGTGTAGAAGTGTAGGAAATGTCGAGTCGACCTACACCTTAATTGCAAAAACGATTTTATATCGCATTGTCAGCGTAGTTACGCCGTACGGTACCGGTATTGCATGGAATAGGACTGTACCGGTACAGCTGTAGGAATACAGGTACCGGTATGTGAAAAGATTATCCTGTACCGGTACCGGTAAGGATGGCAGGACTGCAGGGTGGTGTGTTTATGCATTACGCTCAGGGGCTGCAGATTGATACTGTAATACAGTTGCCGTATTCTGGTATTGGTCCGTATAAATGGAAAGCTGCAGAGTTGAGTAGAATACCGTAGGCGTATTCTGACCTTAAAGCCTTTAGGCCAAGGGTCGGCAACCTTTTGTTGCTCGCGGGCCAAAATTAAGGTTGTAAGTCATTGGGCGGGCCGCACATATTTTTAGGAATTTGAAAAAACGAACGGATGGTACTTTTTATAATAAAATCAAGCAAAGATACATCTCTCGAATAGAATATAGATTTATTTCTTCTCCATTTGAATATTTCAGCGCCATTGAAGCCTGCACTGGCTGACGGACACTCGACTACACGGACAACTCACCAGAGACAACTCGACTACCTAGAGGCCTGGTGAGTTGTCCGTCTTTTGGCATTTTCTACGGTGGTGTTTTAGGTCTATAGAATGCGTTTTTGATATTTTTAGTGCTCAAATGTTGAGAAAAATACATAAATATGCTCTAGAAAGCATTTTTATTTGTATAAGTGGCTTATTTCGATCATGTTGTATGAATACAAATACAGTCTACAGACGAAATTGGAGTAACGTTAGCGAAGTCAGACTGTTGACTTATAGGACTGTGTTCGTTTAATTTTTTGAACTTTATTAGTATTAAATGTTTGAATGAGCACCTTTAAATATATTAAAACCTTATACTTCACAGTAACACTTAAATATTTATGAATGTGAGCTCAGTCTATGGTTGCAGTAGTCTAAACTCGCCTACGGCAGTCGCCCGACAGGCCGTCAACTCACTCACTAGTCGAGCAAACGCTCTGCGACGTGACGTCATCGATGCTCGAGGTTAAGACAACTCGACTACCGAGCAACGAGAGGCAGACAACTCACCAGTCGAGCAATCGCTCTGCGATATCGATGCTCGAGGAGAAGACATCGCTTTGCAAAACGCAGACTCAAGAGTTGAATAGCATTTACTTAGTGGATAGGATTTACGTATTTATCCCGGGGGAGAGGAAAACCGATAAGACGGCTTATCCATATGGCGAACCACGGCCTCTCGTCCGGTTACCATTCCAAGTCGGGTATGGGATTAGTTTTTTACTGTATTGTTTGTTTTCGGAAGCATGGACTTGGTGGTGGAGGAAGCCGTAACCGACCAGCGGTTACGTGAACCACCCAACGACGGCGAGGAGTCCAGCAATCCTCTCGCACATAACCATCCCTGCATGGGATTCGAACCTGCGAACCCACGCAGAGTAATTAGGGGTGCGGTGGCGAGCGTATTCCTAACGCTTAGCCCGTTGAGCCACACCGCCGCGCCGACTGATATTAGTTGTAAGCCAACTTACCACCTGAGTAGTCTACCAGCCGACGGCTAGGTTCCATCTGCTGGGATACAACAATCGGGTTGGAGTCATGATGGGTGTCATGGGCCTGGTAGCAGTCCAGGCACTTCCACTCAAACGTTACGCCCCTTTTTTTTTAATAGCCTGTACTGTTCCCTTGTCATTGCCACATCTGAATTATTAAAACATTTGCGATGAAACCAATTTCGACAGACGTCACAGAAGAGTCCTTCCTGCTTCATGGAAACACTGTATAAGTTTATTTCGACTCCATAATCAGCATAACAATACATTTGACAGATAAATATTTCTTTGGATGTCTTGAAGCTTTCAATGAATAATCCACTAGATAGTGAAAGATTAAATATATATGTCAGGATATCAATAATATGTTCTGGAACATATTTCAATATTTTGAATGGAATACCATCGATTCCAAAACTTGACTTGGGCTTCATATCGCGTATGATATTTTTTATTTCTAATGATGTAGTTGGCCTTAAGAACATGGATGAGGATTCTTGCCTTCCCAAGAATATGAAATGTAATTTTTGTCACAGCCAGCTGGTTGTGGCATACAGTCGAGCAGGCTTTGTGCCACTTGGGAAAAGTGTTCATTAAATTTATTGCAATTTGTGTATTACTGCAATCAAGTCCAATCAAAGGACAAGAATTTGTTTCATCTGCTGGGATGGAACAACTGGGTTGGGGTTGTGATGGGTGTCCTGGGCCTGGTAGCAGTCAAGGCACTCACACTCAAACGTAACGTCCTGTTTTTTTAATAGTCTTCACTGTTCCCTGTCATTACCACATCTGAATTATTGAAACATTTGCGATGGAACCAATTTTGACAGACGCTGAAAAGGCCAGTCGCTTCCTCCTGCAACAAAAGAAAAATTTGTAACATACAATACAGGGTGGTGGAATAGCCTACTGTGTAATTAGTACGGTCTTACCAGTTCCATTCGCGTTGGTGCGATAAACTGTGTATGAGTAGCCACCCCTCTCTTAAAGCTTCGCTTTACCTCTTTGGGCCATGTCGTCCTCGATGGTGAATGACGTTTCTTCGACGCAGCAATTCTCTCGGGTTATAAGTATAAGTTTATTTCGACTCCATAATCAGCAATAGACGATAAAAAAATAGATAAAAGTAAAAGTAACTGATTATAAAATCGGAAAAAGCGAACAAAACCTCACAAACCTTAGTAGCCTCAATTAAATATTCATTTAACCACGAATGGAATAATTTAAAAAAAAATGTTAGTTTATTCTAGTCTAGATAGGTTAACAAATAATCCATAGAAATAGTCAACTCACCCTAGTTATCGGGCTGATTTTCGAGCATTATCTAATCTCCGTGCATCTGATCTAATCTGATGCACGGAGATTAGATAAGGTGCCAGATAGGCGATAATTATTTGTGGACTCTCTTCTCGTAGGTGTTCAAGAATCTACGGTAAGTATGTAACGCAAAAAAACTTCCCCGTAACGTTTAGTACTCAAATAAAATTCATTATTCGTAACAAAAGTAGACAAAATCTTTAATCCATTGAATTTCCCCACAACGTTTAGTATTCAAATGAAATTCATTATTCGTAACAAAAAGTAAACAAAATCTGTCCAGGCGTAGCGACAGCGCCTATCTGTTCGTGGATTTCTTCTGCAAAAAAGAAATTCCAACTCTAAGACTGAAACCTTGTCGTGGTGAGTTGGCTTACAACTAATATCAGTCGGCACTAAATAAATGCTGTACAAGTAGAACTTTCGAGCATGCGTTTTGCAAAGCAATCGCTCTGTAGCCGGGTTGTCTTCTCGAGCATCGATAACGCAGAGCGATTGCTCGACTGGTGAGTTGACTGCCTGTCGATCGACTGCCGTAGGCGAGTTTAGACTACTGCAAACATAGACTACTGAGCTCACATTCATAAATATTTAAGTGTTACTGTGAAGTATAAAGGTTTTAATATATTTAAAGGTGCTCAACGAACACAGTCCTATAAGTCAACAGTCTAACTTCGCTAACTTTACTCCAATTTCGTCTGTAGACTGTATTTGTATTCATACAACATGATCAAAATAAGCCACTTATACAAATAAAAATGTTTTCTAGAGCATATTTATGTATTTTTCTCAACATTTGAGCACTAAAAAATATCAAAAACGCATTTCTATAGACCTAAAACACCACCGTAGAAAATGCCAAAAGACGGACAACTCACCAGGCCTCTAGGTAGTCGAGTTGTCTCTGATGAGTTGTCCGTGTAGTCGAGTTGTCCGCCTCCCTTTGCACTTAGCATCAACTTTTCTGCGTTTTGCTGCCATTTGCTTCGTTATATTTAAATATATGGTTATTAAACGAGTAATTGTGAATTATATAATTGTTAGGTTACGGTATAATATAGCCTAGTCTAAAGAATATATTCGTCAAAACGGATGTTTTGTTACTATAATTTAGTGAAGTGTTGCAGGCTGTAGGTTGCCGACCCCTGCTTTAGGCGGGTAATAAGAAAAAATCTTTCAGAAATCAAGAAATCTTTATTCATAATCTAAGTTAGCACTTTCTGAACACAGTAATCATATCATCTCTTCCACACAAAGTGCTAAATGAAATTGTGGAGAGGGAAAAGATATTAAATTGAATGATTTACATACATTTTGTGATGGCTTTAATGATGATATTTAAACTTTCTCTGCTACAGTTTTCTGTTGAACTAGGCCTATAGGAACCATGAAAAAATTTTTCCAGAAAGTAAAACTGGAAACTAAATTTCGAAGTGCTGGAGAGGGTCATAAACTTACTGACGATCCAGGCCATGGGGTGCAGGAAAGTTCAAGATCTACACAACCTGTTCCAGTACGAGCAAATCCTATGTCAGAATCTCAAGCTAATGCAGCTATTGCGGCAATTGAAAGAAATGAAAAATGTAAGCAAACGACATCTACATCATCGTCAAAAATAATAAAAAGATTGGCAAAAGAAGCTGCGAGAGCTTCTGATGATAATAAAGTGCCCAAGTCTGAACCTCTCAATGCTGATGCAGCAGAAGATTTTGTACCTGAACAATATTCAGTTGAAGGTGTTAAATTTATTTCTGCCTTATCTGGAGAGATCATGCAAGAAAAAGAACTTAATGCACATTACAAAGAAAGTTTCTTACTGAAGCTAGGTTCAGATGAAGCCATTGATGCTTCGTGTAGTATGATACGGACATTGAATAAAGATAAATCGAAGATTGAAATTGCAGTAAAAACCATAAGCAAATATATTGACAACATCATTGCAAATCCTGATGAGGAGAAATACAGAAAAATAAGGAAAGAAAATAAAGCATTTTCAGAAAGAGTTGCTCCTTTGGATGGAACAGAAGAGTTCTTAAATGCAGTCGGCTTCAAATTGACAATGGTGTCATCAGATGAAAAAGAAGAATTATATTTGTACTGCCCAATGATATTAACATTGAAAATCTTAAATATGCAAAAGATTGTTTATTGGCTTCACAGCCACTCATATCAAAACTCCACAGAGACTTGAAAATTTTTCAACCTTCTGATCGGTCTCTCACTTTCAATCTACCTAACTCGTTTTACAATTTAACATTGGAAGAAGTTCGGAGAGAACAGGGACTAAAAACAGAAGAGATTGAACTTAGTAAACAATTACGAACAAAACAAATGCGCGAAAAATCAAGGCAGACTAGAAAATATATTTATGCTTTGATTAGAATTCGGTTTCCTGAAGGGTACATTTTACAAGGAACGTTTGCAGTGAACGAAAAATTTGCTGAGGTGAGGGCATTCATAAGTGAGAATATAAATGTTGATTGGGCACCTTATACTTTAAAAACATCAACAGGGCAAACAATTGATCAGGATCACGAAACACTGTCTGCGCTTCAGCTCATACCATCTGTTATCTTGAATTTGAGTTGGATTGCAGAAGTACAGGCTCAATTGAATGAACAAGGTGTTACACTTTCTCTAAAAGATAAGGTTTTACAAAAACAGGAAGAATTGAACTGACAATTGTCATTCGGGTGAGAAAATTTCTCGATAAAATTTATATTTCACCATGCAAGTGGAAGCCTAATTTGACATCATGTGAATGTATTATTCGAGCTCAAATTGACACCATTCAATTTGGTATTTTTGTTTGGCATGATTAGCTTATTTTTAAAAGCAAGCATTAAAAAAGCATGTAGGGTGTTTACTTTTGTTTCATATTGTCTCTGTCAGTGTATGATTCATTGTGTTCTTATTATGCGAAGGTTGTTATCACTTATCAGATTACAGAATATGACAATTGGTCAATATTGTAATCCTCTTACGGTACTTTAATAATAAAGTTGTCAACTACTTGTTCAAGAGCGTCAAATTTGCTAACAATAAAACACTTGCAATTGATGTCAGTGACATGGATATCATGAGCTAGATCTTAGGACAATAAATACCTGTTGAAAATTTATATGGATATTCATATAGCTCATGGTATTCCAATTGAATTGGTAATGTAATTTTTTTTGTAGCAATAACCTGTTTCGATGTCAAAATATGAAATTAAAGCATAGCAAATCACAGTGTGCCATTTTATCTCATTTTTATTCATAAAAGTTTAAATATTGATAGATAGATATAATATTGTTACCCTGAAATGAGGATAAGAATGCTATCATATTTCTCTGCATTGACAACGCCTATCTAATATTTAGGCAACAGGCAGTCGAATATCTATCGAGTGTGGTTTTCACTGTAGTTATATGAATTCTCAGGCCCATGATTTCATCTCGTAGGTAAAATGGTTGATACATTTTCCAGTCACTTGTGTAAGTGAGGAGACCATTTTGTAATATATCAATTAGCACTTTTAATTTTGAAATATGTGTTCTCACACATTTTTAGTCAGAAGTCCACAACAATTGTGTTGAGTTATCCTGAATATATTTATACTTATAATAATTTCGATATATTTATGAATTGTTCATTTTTAAAGTATATATTGCAGTAATGATTTATGTAATAATGCCAATAATTGCCAGTGTTAATTTGTTGTTTCTCTCTCATGTTATTGTGCTTGAAATCGCATTTAGAATTAGTTGAAAATGTCATGTAGAGAACGGAGGGCAAAGCTTACCAACATGAACCGAAGTCTGTGAGGATGAGGAAGAACAATCTAAGCTGCTCTTATGATTTTTTATTTGCTGAATAATTATGGCTGTATAGTCGATATATCAAATTTATTTTTATTTCATTATTTATCTCGTTTAAAACTTGGCCCTGATCACCAAACCCGTTGAAATCAGTTTTGGAGTGCAGCAACTACGTCTAGCTATGATGCCTCACCTTTAGTCCGTTTTTTTTTTTTTTATGTGCGCAAAGCCAGCTGCATATCGAAATGATTAAATTTGAATATAGAATACAACTTCTCTTCGCTGTAAATAAATGTAAATATCACAAAGTAAATGCGACGTGCTAAGAAAAGTTTGGGGACCTGCAATATATCTTGGTTGTATAGTTTAATATATTTCGTGTGTCGAAATAATTGAAGCAACTCTGTCATATTGACTTATTGAGAGCGATGGCCAGGTTAAGAAAGGAGGTAATTAGTTATCGTCATTTTTCAAAATTTAGCTCTAGTAGGGTCGCGAACCCAAAACTCGAACGTGAAACCGTAGGCGCCGGGGGAGTTTACGGATCAGAGTCGCCCTTCTCCGTAACCAATGGACCAATCGATTTTTAGTTCGGAAGTATTTGCCGGAAAGCTATAACGGTACTATTACGATTTTTCGAATTTGATCCGATATTTAATTTATGGGAATACTGTTTTGTTCCATCGAATGTGTTTTCAAGATGTGCGCTAAGACAGGCCCACATATCGAAATGAATAAATTTGATTTTCAGGTCAGAAATATTTGCCGGAAGGCTATTACTGTACTTGCGATTTTTCAAATTTGATCCGATATTTAATTTATTGGAATACTGTTCTGTTCCATTGAATGTGGTCGCCTCCTTGACTGTTTTTTGGATTTCCATTTCGGTAGGCACCTCAGTTGTTCCCCGTAACTTTTCTCATAAATAAGCCTTGATTGAACCTGAACAAATTTTGTCATAAAACATTCCCAACTATGCGAAAATGATTGCCTTTTGAAATGTTTGGTTGAATTGCGAAAATTTAACTTCGCTTGTCACCATTATCATATTTTATCAAATTTTACATAACACCAACAATCTTCACGTAACCATTCATGCGTAAAATGGTTCCATTACATTTGAACCCACGTACATTTGAACCCATGCAATTGCACCTGTATGCTATTGCACCTATGAAATTTTTTTTGTTTTTCGGATAGTTGAACCCACACTAACCCTAACCCATGGGTTTTAGCACCCGCATATAGATTGAACCCGTGGATATACACATGGGTTCAAATGTACGTGGGTTCAAATGTACGGTCACCGCGTAAAATCGTCTCATTGACCCCATCAATCAAATAATTCATGACGAAGCCATTTCTCGTCCTACAACTAACGAACAAAAACTTTTTAGTTTTCATCATCATTACCAAGATTTATTGTTCTCCGGATTAGACCGATGTCATACACTCACAGGGATTCGAATATTTATCAGACAGACGAATTTATTTAAACAGTATAGCAGCAAGAGCTTGATTCAACATGATAAAAATAAAAAATATACTTGGAAAGCAGTCTGTGGTAAATAAACTCCTACAGGAGTATTGCCAGGGTTGTCAAATGTTCAAAAATAATCTAGAATTTTAACAAAAAATAGGCTAATCTAAATTTAAAAAATAATAATCCAAACATACCAAAGTTACATTTCAATAGAAAAAAAAAAAAAATTGCCTATATCAATACGGTTTTTGGAATATAAATAGGGTAACCTAAGTATTTATCGTGAGAAAAATTGAAAACTTCCTAACCTGTGTGTATGTATTTTTCAATTCAGTTATTGCCAACACATATATATTTGCTGTCCATAAGTGGAGGCTTGAACGTTAGTGAAAAATTACACAATTATTATGGATGTAAATTTTTCTCACTGCAATCTCTGAATATCAAATACACTAATATTGAATAATGCAAAGAAACAAAATACAAATAACAATGTTTATTGAAGATCTTTTAAGTAAATAGAACATTGAATTTTCATATTTTACTGTAATAGTTTCCTTTGTATCGAAATATCGATACTACTAACACACTTAGTTAACATACAGCATAGTAATGCGTATGATATAATGAGTCATTTATTATCTTATTAATTATAGTCGGTTATAATTATATTTTATGTGACTACATGAACTGCACTTCACTTCTTTGCTACTAGAGAACAATGCAAAATAAACATTTGTCAAAATAATCCACTAAATGAATGCTAAAATAATCTAACATCTAAACGGGTATTTATTACATCTAAATTATATGAATATAATCTAAATCTAGGTTAAAATAATCTTAGTTGGCAACACTGGCGTATTCACGCCACGCTTCACAGTCACTCATTATTGCGTCAAAAAGACGACGTAAACAAGTCCGTGGAATCGTATATTCTAGGGCGAGGCAAAAATGCCTCTCTCATTTCATTTTTCAAAAAAATTGACAAGAATAGCTTTTATTAATCCTACATTATATTTTACTGAATTCAACTTCATCTTTATAGTCTTTGTTAGACGAATCGTCATTTCCACTTTTGAAATCCGGAACTCCAAATCGGAAAAACGTTTTTACTTTTGCAGGAAGATACTTGTTGTCAAAAAGAGGAATGAAGTAATTTGGATTCGCTTCAGATCCTGGTGTATGCCCTGGAATAAGTTGAGCGTTGTCAAGAATTTGTTTACGAAAACTCGAGGAATGATAGCAATGTATAAATTTCAAAATGCATTGGAAACGAAGTAGACTGTATGAATCATTTACGAAATTGTTTTGTTGGGTGATTGTTGTTGGACGACTTTCGTGTTCATAAATGCTATCTTGTTTATATTAGTTTTAAAAGATGGCGCCGGGGAGTTCGACAAGGATAACGTAAACTGAACTGAACATCAAATTTTTACTTTTGATTAGCATTGAGAAGTGAAAATGAAATGGTAAGATCGGAGGATGCCAGATACATACCAGTAATAAAAGACACAACCAATCCGATAACGATAGCAGTTGACCATCCAAAAAACATTAAAATGTTGAAGTTAAGATTCAGCACGTCTAAAAGCATTGTGTGTCTGAAAAATGAAAACAAATATATTTATTGTACATAAAATATCATATAATTTTGTTGATGATAAACATTTTTCAGGTTTTCTTGTTTCCTCGGTAATCAAAGTAACGAATCCAATTGCTCGAGTAGGAATTCCAAAACTAAAATTGTGTCGTCCGAAATACCATTTTCAAATTAAGTTTTGTTAATTCGCAGATAAAAAAGGCCGTCATTTAACTTCATTCAAAATCTTTTTATATGCCATAGTTGTCTAAAACTTACTTTACTTCAATAGGTGCTGATGTTATTCCGGGTAAGGCAGTTGTTGTTACGTTGATATACACGTCAAAGGTGTTATTGAATACCGGGCAAGAGCCAGTCGTACGAGGAGGAATGTCGTTAGTATACGGGTCGGTATTCCAAATATAGTTTCCAAAAAATATAAATGCAAGTAAAACATATCCAGAACATAAACCACTGAATGCACCCTGTGAAAGAACAAATTTAATTTGACTATTTATCAGTGTTAGTCAAAATTACGTGTAGTATCATTATGGTGGAATTGAATAGAGAATTAAACTTTACCCAGCATAAACGTTAAGAACGTGAGAATAACGTGGGATTTACCCAAAGAACCCAAAGCAGTATATTCCGTTCTAAAATCTACTGCGTAACAAATTGCAGTATTATTTTGGCAAAATTTTTGCAAGTCAAAAGCTAGTGTTGAACGGGATATGATGTTATCTCAAAAGGGTTCAAAAAAGTCAGTTCTTAGGAATTTTCCAACTCATTGGAATGCAATGATTGATCAATGGAAGCGTGTTCACAATCTATAGTCGAGTTAAAAAACAATATGCTTACATATTTATTTGTCCACGGAAAAAACAATCCAAGAATATAAATTCCAGCCAAAGGCCCAAATATTAATCCGGTGAATCCGTACAGCAACTCAATCGCGTTTGATCGCACAATTGAGATCAGAAAAGCATTGATGACCACCAAAGTTCCCAAAACAACAACTAAAAATAAAAATAACTTGATAGCGAATTAGATATTATATGCAAATTCAACTCGTTCTATTTAAAAAAAAATAGAAGGTACCTGATATCTTCCCAGTTAATAGTTTCACAGATTCGGACATATTCGGCCACTTCTTCACTACAAAATCTTCTAGTATAACCACAGACAAGGCGTTAAGACAAGAAGAGATAGTACTGAAATAAATAACAAAATGAATTCCAACAATGTGTCAATACGCAATAGTTCATTACTTTTGATACCGAGAGTACTAATAACTGAAAGAAATGGAATTTATCGAACTTTTTCCGAATTAGCTTTTATTGAATAAAAAGTGGGTTTCAGTAGTTACAGTGTACTACTAGATATCATAACATTATGTAGACTTTCTGGCATGTACCAACAATTGAAGGTTAGATTAACGACACTACTTAGGGTGCAAGTTTGTGCGTTGTTATATAAAGTTGTTATTCCAATAATTTTTTCATAAATGTCTTTTTCTGATTCAACGTAGTAGAGCTACAGGAAAATGTGATCAGTCTTATATGCACAAGCACTCTAAAGCTTTGTTGTAATACTCATTTAACAAAATGAATTTAATTTATACACAAACCTGAGACTTGCACTGAATATTGCAGATATGAACAATCCGGCCACACCTGGTACATTTTCGAACAATTCCAAAGCCATGTACGGAATACCTTGGTCGATATTTTCTAGCTTACCAGATATTACTGGATCACATCCTTCATAATAGGCGTACATTATAAATCCATTCAAATATATTGATACGGACATTAATAAAGTAGGTATAAGGTAGACCAACATTGAACTGAAAAACATTGAAATTAGTTTTATCAACGTCAATACTTACATTCAAAGGGGAAAAAATATTGAAAAATCTTACTACTGCGCTTGTCGTGTACTTTTACATGAAAGAAATCTCTGAAAAATTGATTGTGAGAAACACAATGTGTCAATGCACATGATGAAATTCCCGATAAGGATGGCTGTTGGTGAAATACGAGTGATTATTCCATAATCAAATCTGCAAATAAATAAGTTTGAAAGATTTTCGATATATATACAATTATTATTTTCATGTATTATATGATATACATATAATAATCATATTTTACATACCAAATCTCGTATATCTCAATATCCGTCTATGCTGTTTTGAAAATGACTTGACATGCAAAGCCCTTATCAGAATATAAATGAGTGATATGAACTCATCAGTCCGGTATTTCAAATATGAAAGGATTATCGATTGCATTACTCACTTCATGCCAGTAAAACGACCCCCTCTTTCCAATGCATCCATCATTTCATCGAATCCTCCTATGAATGTGAGCCCTCGTACTGTAACAGCAAACATTCCAATGATCATTACAAAGGATTGGACGGCGTCATTCCACACCACTGCCTTCATTCCTCCCTGTGTCAGAATTATGTTGTGTTTGGATATTAGAGAAAAAGTTTATAAATTTAATGCAACAAGATTGCAAACAATCGGAAAAGCAGTTTGTCATTGGTTGCGAAGTGGAATTTTATAATAATTAATATTTTATAATAATAGTTAATATATTACTCAAACTTCATAAAATCACGTGGAATTAATCCATAAATTCCGAAAGAAGAAGAATTAAAAAAAGCCTAAAGAATACGTATACAAATAATTTTAGTTACTCTTAATGAGTAGAGTGGGGTCGATTATTGACTACTGTGTATACCCACCACGAATTGTGCTCCGGTGATTTTGTAACTAAGCAATCAAAATCACAAGTCTCACCAGAGTAGTGTATAGAGTGCAGATTCCCCCTGTCAGAATTATGCTCCATGCCAACGGAATAGAAGTAACTGCATTCAAGGAAACAGCCGGGAGGTAGACCGCTGAGCCCATGTAAAATATTGTACCGAAACTATACATGAAGCTTGCTAACTTTGCAAGAGCTGGACTGAAACGAAGTTCCAGAAACTGAAAAATATTAATATTTTTACTCTTGGTAATTTTTAATTATAGTGTGTTGCCAACAGAATGACTCATGAGAAAGTATCGCTGAAAATGGTTTATTCATAAGAGCTAACTTACCATTGAGCACCTTTCTTACTTCACTTATCATGCCGCGGAGACTTAATTTAATAAGGTATTGCGAAGGCATCAAAATGTATTTTGGAGCATTTGAAAATCAATGCCCGAGTTTTCCAAAGTGAGATATTAAACAAAATACGTTCGTTATAAGTGGAAGTATATACGTGAAAATATTGCACAGATTCCATTTCCATGGCCAAGTCTGTGGATTCGTAACTCTGCTAATCGAAGCCTTTTGTCACGTCACCCTGTGTGACGTTACTAAATTATATGTATGATTAATGTGCTCATACTGTATTCCGCGAATCATATTGTCATAATTTTTCTGATGTAATTTGTACATCATCAACATTTTTGCATGCAATCGCCAGGAAAGACCACAAACAACTAACTGAATTAAATTCTCACCTCAAATATAGTATTCAGTTTCATGCGACGAAATGCTGGAATAAAGTAGATAATGACGATGAAAACTACAATCGTGTTGGCAAATTCTTCCCACAAAACAGCTGTACCAGTAATGTATGCTTCTGCAGGACTTGCGATGACCGACAGGGAGGACCGGAAGGTCACTGCTAGTGAGAGTCCAACAGCAATCTGCGATGCAACGATAACATATATCTGAATAATTCGCACTGTCTATGAGCGAATTCCCGAAGAAACCGATATTTATTCCTTCATAAGCTGAATATATTTGTATTATTATACATGTGATTTGACGAAATTCGTATGGTTGATACATGCATGTAATACTTATACTGGGTTAACATGAATTATTTTAGTTTGGTTAAATTCAATGGCACTTTTTTAAAGTCTAATCTAAAATTCAGAATTAAGGCATTTATGGCAATATTCGGTAATTCAAATAATGAAAATTTCAGAAATGAATGGAAAGAAATCCGAACATCGCACGTTTTCATTAATGACATTTTGAAACCTTCCCATAACATCTATTCCCATCTATAGAAAAATCATTCATTTACCGAAATAACAAATTAACATTTTGAGTTGTATATATTTTCCGAAACTAAATGGCAATATTGGTGTTGTTTACAACGAAGCAAAAAAGAAGAAGTACCGCATTGATTTTTCCCTCCCCGAAGTAATAATTATTTGTTGTCTTATTTCCTCTGTCACGATATGCATAGAAAATGCCGATGCCACAAGATGTTAGAAGCAAACCTAAAAAATAAAATATTTCAAGGTCTTAAACATTCATGAGATATTTCCTCACTTCACAAATGCTACGAAGATAAGGCGAAAAGGGCATAAAGTGCGATTTAATGATTTCTCAATAATCAAATATCTTAACGCAATCATACGAAATTTAAAATGCTGCCAGCTATATAAATACAGCCAATCAACCTGCACTGTCGAAAAAGCGCTCCAAAAGTATGTGTACCAATATGGCGGTAACTAGTTTTGTTCGCATACTTTACATCAAGCTGTGTAAAGGGACGGAAGCCTATGGGCAGGGGGTATATTCACTTGCTAACACAGACAGTCCCCGAACTCGTAATAGACAAAAATATGGCAAATCGGAATAAAATTATGGCCCAACCCTAACCTGGTACACATACTATACGGGAGTACCATCGAAAATGACTTTTTAAACACATATATATGTGTGAGGTGTAACACTCAAAATATCGCTTCACCTGTGCACTTCTTGTGACTTTATTTTTATCTTATTCATTTTTAATTTCTTATTTATTAAGTAAACTCTCATCAATTCTTTCTAATATTTTGATAATGATTTCCTCTTGTATGCTATTAACGGGCAACTTGGTGCAGACGTTGCAGACGTTATATTCTATTAAAAACGCAAACATCCCACTCGGAAACAACACTTATGCCATTACTTTACAAGTCGGGACGAAAGAGCGTTGATAGTACGTCTCAAGTCATTACACTTTAACAGGTTACCTACCTGTTTTAATATTATATGCCGCACACGGACGCAAATTTTACATTTGACAAAAGTTACATTTAACAAAAACTGGCAACCGGACATTCGGACCCAACTTCATTGTGGCAATGTTTCAAAATTTAACGCCTCCTGTTTTGGATAAAGAATAAGTGTAGTTTCCAGATGACTTACCTACAAATGATATATAGTCAACAACACCCAAGTCCTTCTTTGTTGTTAAACTTGCTTCTTCCATTTCATAAAATAGTTCTCTTGATTTAATTTAAGTGTAAGTATTCATAAAAATTAATTCTTTCCTAACTACCTACTCTACTACAGTCTCCTCCAATCATTTAAAAGCCATGGACGTCTTAATTTTTTTTTAAACGTGTTGGTTTGTTTAAATAGGATCTTGTAGGTACTTCAATGGTTAATTAAAATGAAGGCAATTGTCTGCAGATGTGTTTGAAACCTGACTTGCGTTCAAATTTGTGGAAATTCGTTCAAATTTTTGTAAAGAGTAAAATCAACTACAAACTATTCGTGATTTTATAAGTTGTATGCTACCTTCTATGTTTTTATACTTTTATGAATGTATTTCTATGCTGTTTAATCCTTTAGTTTGGTATTACTCGATTGTACGCGGATACACGATATTAGTTCAATAGTACTAGTATTGAGTGCTTTCACTCCCACTCCAGCGTATGTAACATTGCTGCAATACGTTATATTAGTTTGTAATCTGAATCGTACAAATGCATTCCTGATAACTAAATATTTTCATATCTCTCTAGTGCACGTTTTTTCTGGGTTGCGATACAATTACAACGCTATATGGTAGTATTTCTAACAAACTATATAGAATTATAAATTGTTGTTTGAGCTGTACATCTGCAACATTATAATGATTGCATATTTCAATATATCACAAATCGACTCGTAACCGTACCGGGCTATATCCTATAACTGTTTCAATATCGATTTGAAGTAAATTTCTACCTCACACTGGACAGCAAAATGTTGTGATGTTGATTTCCTTTCGACCAATTCTCAAAAAAAATATTTTGTTTCTAATATCATGACAAGGACTTGAATACAAGTGTAAAGTAAATAAATAAAATATCAACTATCCAAAACTTGCTGCCTAGGTGTTCATCGGTGCTGTAAATCATAGGTTCTCAAAGTGCTCCGTACGGAGCCCCAGGGCTCCGCGAGAGAAACCCAGGGGCTCCGCGAGCTATTCGATTACTTTTCAAAATATTGATTTGGCTAATTTTGTAACAGTTCAAAGAAGCAATAACAGATTTGATAATATCTGAAACAATATATAGCCTCGAAATATGGCAAAGAGGCGAAATTAAAAAATGAAATTATTTATAAGCTGGAGCGCAGCCAGGCTTCTGAGGAGGGGGTGGGAATGGAATCGGAAACTTCCGCGCGACATTCTTCGCGATTTAAAAAAACGGATTTAAAAAAACGGATTGCGAGATTTCTGTTGCGTAAAATATTCAATCCATGACCGATGCGAGCATTTAATTGAAGTGTCTTGTTCTAATAATATAATTGTGCTCGTCGTTACTCACGTTTGATTCGAGATTACTATTAGGATTACTAAAATAAAGGATTACTATTCTAAAATAACATAAAATACGTGATAAACTGCCAACTATAAATAAATTGGAGTCGTATTTTTTGCGATCTTGGGATTTGTCAAACTTCATTTGTTCTTTTGCACTCGAGATTGTTTTTAAGCAAGATAATAATTGATATTTTAATCGTCGTTTAAAAAATCACAAGGTCTCGGCAAAATACGAACGATTGAAATTAATTTATTGCATGCGGCTCCGTCGGTGGTTTCAGAATGAAAAAAAGGTACATCGCGCGCACAATTGACTGTGTTACGATTTCGCAGTTACTACGATGAATCACCAGAGAAAACCTAACATAACACCAAATTTTGTGATTTCCAATGCCTATATAAAAGCGTTTTTGATCTGACGTGAGACTACTGAAACAAAATTTATAGTGTGATCTTTCATTTTAAGTTTTATTATTTCAGAATGTCGTTTTTCAATCAAGAAATTTGAGTTTCGAATTTACCTCTTTATTAAATTATTTTTAGCGTTTTGTCGCCGATGACTATAATATCATCACGCTAATAACCGAATTGCGTAAGTCATTTTTAGCAGTTTTGAGAAAAACGTAAAAAACCTCCTAATGATATTGTTATGCCATTGAGAGTCAATAATTTGCCATGGTTCAATTTTTTGATCGTAGCCGGATTTGAGTTAATTTGTATGACGCAGTTAAGTGACGTCATAATGGCGCACTGTGACTTAGGCAGAAATGTGTTTATGACTTGGGCACATACGCAATTTTGCAACTTTACTATATGCACCAGTCCTGAAAACTAAACATTCCAAAAACGAATGCAATTCTCAGTATCTACAATGTCTAATCCCCAAAATAGCTAATCAGTTTTAATTACAATATTTTTTATGTTTAAAAATATATATTTCATCAATATAACACGTTCCGCACACCCACCGAAAAAAGACTAAGATTAAATATAAAGAATAAAACAGCAATACATCCAATATATAAGCCAACCAAGGTGAATTGGACTCGGACAGTGAATATCACAAGTGCACGCCTTCCTATACTGTAGTATAAAGTCAAATTAATACGCGCTAAGCTAGAATCCGAGATGCAAAAACTCGTAAATACTTCGCCGAGGTTATTTTGCCTTCGTGACGTCACAATAGTCCTGCGGTAACAATGATAATTCATTATGACGAAACAATTGCACAAATGGGCATGTCATACTAAATCTTCATTTTTATGGGTTTCGGAATTCTTAATATAAAATCTGAGTTAACAGACAGGTGCGCAGCATCACATAAATACCTATTTTATAAAAAAAAAACTCAATATCGCCAAAAATGACTTACGCAATTCGGTTATTAGCGTGACGATATGGTAACATGTTTTTCACATTGAACTCATAATTCCCCACGAGAACAAAAAAGCAATTATCGTCGTCATTGTGAAACAATACATGTACGTGCCGACGGAAATTTTCGATTTAGGGAGAATAAACACCGACGTAAAGATGTTAAAAACATGCCATGCTGAGGAGAACCATCGGCGAATGTAACAAAATACAGCGGCTTTGTAAGTCTTCTGAAAATGTCAAAAGGGAAAAGATTCGGTCCATAATTTATTGATATGTTTATCAAGTGTCAAATTTACAGTTTTAGTATACATAATTTATCTTTGAAATTTAGATTTATTTATGACTTGTATTAACCCTATTAAAAAAGATTTAGCATTCAAATTAAGTAAAGTACTTTTAATTTTACTCAGGAATATTAATAGAAAGGGTAACAATTTTAACATTTCATTTGGGGCTCCGTGAATAATAGTTAATCTTTTCAAGGGCTCCGCAACACCAAAAGTTTGAGAACCCCTGCTGTAAATGATAGCTGCCTGTTAAAACACCTGTGCAACGGATAAATTTGTATTGATTCCCATTTCCTATTATGTCGATGCAACTCAGATTAAGTAGGAAAGAGGTATTTGACGAAACATCCCTACTCAACTGCAATACTTTTTTTAACGTGACTTGTTTGTAAACCTATACTGCGTGAATTGCAATATTTTTGATGTGAGCAATTTTCAGTAGTCAGAGGCGGAAGTCACTATTCAAACTTACGTTTATTTGTTTTCGAATTTGCTCTGCAGATTATGGATCCGTTGATGCGGACAAAAGAGAGGATTGGATCTACTTTTAACAACCCCGTGTCCTACATTAGAGCATTGCTCTCTTATTCATTACATACTGAAGCAACAGTAAAATTTCCATTGCCGTCTGTAACAGTCACGGCGATTACGCGCTCCTTAAAAGAGCCGCCTTTTCAGCGTATAATAATATTTTGGCGCGTAAAATAATCAATCCCTGATCAATCTCAACTACGAGATTCTAAAATGTCCTTGTATATTAATTCATTTGTGTCCAACGTACCTAGTGGTTGCGACTTCTTACGTCAAAATAAAAACATTCCTTCACTAAAATACCACGGCAACCTGTGGACATACAAATATGAGATAAGCTGCCTGATCGAAGTTAGAAAAATCTCAATATCTGATACGGTATGAAATGGACGGAGACAAATAACAATAACAATAACAACAAAATTTTGAAACGATCGTTATGGCCACTAAACGTGTCCAATAAAACGTCCGTAAATCTGCTGTAAATTCTCACGCGAAAAAGTCGCGTTTCCAACCTTGTAATGTAAACACGAACATTTTCGACGGGAATTTTGAAGTAATGGATAAAAAGGTAAAACCCGCCCACAATTCACCGTGTTTAGATTTTAGTCGCGACAGGTTTCTAAACGGTGACCAAACATAATGTGTGCCGTGCACGAAATTTTGCGATTTTCGATGCCTAGAGAAGCGTTTTTAGACTGTCGCGCGCCGCAACAAAACTTATATTGTTTATGGTTTTATTTTCAATATTTTTATATTGTCGCTTTTCAATCAAAAAATTTAGGTCGTGGGATTTGTCTTTAGAATCTCGCCGCCGATAAGCCTATAATAAACTCTCACCGGATGCACAATTCCGTGCGAGAACAAATATAAAATAATTATCATGGTTATCGTGGCACAAATTTATGATTTAAAGACAATGAGACAATGATTATAAGGGGGGCGAACCCCAAAACCCTTCCTGGCTGCGCCACTGTCCATTGCTATTATTTTCATTATTCTTGCATGTTATCAGTTCATTGTGTCAGTTCATTGGGCTTATTTGTTTGCGAGACATTGAAGGAAAGTGAATGTTAGGAGTTTCTTTATATTTTTAGAACATGAATATTGACAATATTGCAGCAATGCGATTGAGCGATTTCTGTGAAACTATCAGAAGCCTCCGTGCGCTGCAAAGGCAATAGGTTCGATAATCAAATGACGAAAGTAGAGAACATTATTATCAAGTGAAAATCCACAAAATATACAGAGAGCAACGAAAACACGCCCAACCTTAACAGCAATTAGACGAAAAAAGTGCAATTCTAAAATGGGTCACGTGCACAGAGGTGCTTAGAGTGAGCCAAGTATCGTGAAATCTAATAGTCCGGCAGATAAGGGGCCTTTTTGGGCCCAATCTTGTTTTCAGACATAAAGTTTTTTCATTTGTGATTGTTCATCTTGGGGTCATTGCTCATCATTTCTATATGGGTATGGAGTTCGCAGCCTTGAGCAATTTTTTTTACGGCT